CTCTACCACTTGAGCCACAGCGCCACTTCCAGCTTTTTTCTTTTTGCTCATGTGGTGCTGAAGAATCGAACCCAGGGCCTCATGCATGCAAGGCAAGCACTCTACCACTGAGCCACCTTCCAGCCCTGGCAAAACATTTTTAAGAGTATGAATTCTGGACTGGCAGAGTGGCTGAAGTAGTAGAGGGTTTGTCTAGCAAGCTTGAGGCCTGGGGCGTAAGGAAGGACATTGTGAAACATATTACATCTTCTGCTGTATAAATTTCCCTTTTAAAACTTCTGTTTAAGAAAAATAATAGGTTGTGGATCTTGAACAAATATTTAAGATAAACACAGGACTTTGGAACAAAATTTGTATTTCCCAAGAGTTTCGCTTTGGGTCACTTCCCGAGGGCTCTGTACGCATACATTCTTGTCACTTTGTGTGTGTGTTTGTGTGTGTGTGTGTGTGTGTGTGTGTGTGTGTGTCTTGTCTGCAGCCTGCATTCTTTTTCCCCAGTATTTCAGTGGAAAAGATTAAGAAGCACTAGATGAAATAATAAACAACTAGCTAGGACAAGAAGAGTTTAGATTAGAATTTCTAGGGAGGAACTGAAAGAAGATTCCAAAATAAGTCCCCCATAGGAAAAAGAGAGGCCTTTGCCATAATATTGCTTTAATTGATTGGATTTGTGTGTGTTGCTAAGGAAAGCAAATCATTCATTCTGTTCCTATGTGGGCTGGGTAATTGAACTCCCTATCTTTGCTGACAAGGCTAAGGCTTGGCTATCCTATTTGCTAGTGTGTAACCGCTCGGTCATTAGCAAGAGCAGAGAGTATGGAAGGCCCAGAACAATCTAATGGTGTTTGGGAAAACAACTGAACAGATGTTTCCACGGGTGGTGGGTAAATAGTACTTCGTTCACACAGCTCTGTATTCAGTTCTCGGTTCCACCAAGGCACCACGAAACCGAGAGTGCAATTCATCTTCCTTTCTATTCCTCTTTGCTCTATTTCCTACCTCCGCAGCTAAGGAGAGAAGTCCCAGTGGTGAGCCAGGAGAAAAGAAGCAAGAATATCAGGAGTTGAAAGGCTTCATCCTGGTCATTCACAGTGAGCTAAGTAGCTATGTAGTTTTGAGCAAGTTCATTCAGCTTTTCCAGACCTGCTTTTCCTCTTTGTAAAAATCAGAGTACAATTCTGAACACACACACACACACACACAAATCAGAGTACAATTCTGAACACACACACACACACACACACACACACACACACACTAACACCTGAAGGTGCTATCTGTCCTGGCCTCAACCCAGGTGTGCAGCATTTGAGACCACTCTGACAGGTAATGTTCCCTCCCATTTTCTCATCATACATACAAAAGAGGTTAAATCTGTTTCTAGTGGACACCAAAAAAAAATTTGGGGTGTGTTGTCTGCTAAGTCAGGTAAATGCAGCACTGCCTATTCCAACTCAGTTTATGGATCCCTCTTATTCTTTGCCTTGTGGATTGAGGCTGGGCAAAAACAGTTGGAGAATGAACTGTAATTTACTATTGTCTCAGGGCTAATGCTGGTTAATATTTGATGGATAATTATGTGCTATATTAGGTTGATAGGGCTGTCAAAAGAAAGTATCATAGCTGGGGGGATTAAGCACAATAAATATAGTGTGTCACACTATAGCAAGGTGTTTCTTTTGAAGGCTGTGAGAGACCTTTTTTTGTGTGTGTTGCTAGGATTACAGGTGTAAGCCACTAGTGCCTGGCTGCACCTCTCATCTAGTTCTTGGTGGATTGCCAGCCATCTTTGAATACTTTGGAGGGGGTGGTCATAGTTCATTTCACAACATGTGCCAAGTGCTTATATTTTATAATTTTGTTCTCCCAGAAGCATTTCTAGATAGAGAATGTTATCCCCATTTAACAATTAAGAAACTGAGACTTCAGTAATGAACTATTTTGTTTAAGATCGTATAACTAATAAGAAATAAGACTTGCATTCTAGATATCTTGGTTACAGAACCCAGAATTTTAACTAATTTGTTAGAGTCTTACCTCTCACATCTTTACCTCCCTTTTCTGTTTATAGTTACTTCCCAGAAATTGCACAGTAGGCAAAATTTCAATCACAGCCTAACACTGCCACCTTGTGGTAGACATAATTAAAGCAGCCTTCAGCTCATGGTATGGTGAGAAGTGCCACAGACTTACCCCCTAATATACGAATACTGCTAAGCAATTGCAAATTTAATTTTTAAGGGAGAAAAAAATCCCCCTTAAATAAAACACAAGACCTGTGAGAACACAGAATACAGAAGCTTTGGGCCACTGAAGGGATAAAAAATTTGCTGATTAAAATACATAACTGAGGTCCAAACAGGTTGGTGTGCATCTGTAATCTCAGCTAACAGATGACAGTCCTGGAGGATCACAATCTGAGGCCAGTCAGGGCAAAAGGTACTATCTATCTGCCTGCTCCTTTTAGGGTTAAGAAGGTGTAAAGCTCCTTGAATAGGCAAAGAGACAGAAAAGTGGAAAGCAGTTCTTTCTGGCAGATGGAAGTTCTGAAACTCACCTGTTGTCCCTGTGTTTTGAGTAGGCCTGTATCACGTCTCCACGTTTTATAGTGGCACCAGGTGCTGCTGATAGCTTTATGAATGATTCATTGTCATCTTGAATCAGAGGCTCACAGATGTTCTCAACCACATCAGCATGGGACACTGGTGTGTTGTGCTCAGAGATAAGTTATATGTTATCAACAATTTTAGAACTAATGTTCAAAAAATACTTTCCCTTAAATAATTTCCAATTAAGAGAAAAAGTTGCAAGTTCAGTATAAATAATATCCTCTGCTTCCTACTCATCTAAGAAGTAAGTTTTGACCAGATGTCTATCATCCCTTAATTCTCAAATATATGTTTCCTACAAAGGCATTTTTTTGGGGGCCAGTCCTGGGGCTTGAATTCAGGGTCTGGGCACTGTCCCTGAGCTTCTTTTGCTCAAGGCTAGCACTCTACCACTGTTTATGTGGTACGGAGGAATTGAACTCAGGGCTTCATGTATGCTAGGCAAGCACTCTACCACTAAACCACATTCCCAGCCCCATACAAAGATATTCTTTTAGGCATCTAGGTAATGTAAATACAACCATGGCAATGAGCAACGCTGGGAATTGAACCCAGGACCTGGTGCATGCTAGCCAAGCATCATTCTACCACGGAGGTACATCCCACTTTAAATGATGAAAGAGACTTACCAAATTTCCAAATGATATTAGCTCAATGAACAACCTCAATGTTCAGTTTGAACATAGCAAGCATGTAACATCTAGCAAATGTTTGTTAAGTAAACAGAGTACAGTTACTAGATAGAAATGTACCTGGATAAGGAGGAAGAAAAAGGACATTTTACACAGGCTAAGACTGTGAGTACACATAGGATGATAATCTGTGGGTCCCAGTAGAGATGACACACAAATGACAAAGACAAGGTACTGGTCCCCTTGCTTATAAACTTTTCCATACACAGAGTAAGAATGAGACCTCACTTCCAATTTTTATGATATATTTAAAGTAAGTCTTTAATATTCCTCACCAGCTTGTCTACTTTGCACAGTGATTCCTTCTTCCTAGGCAACAGGAATTCTTTTCAAACTGAAATGGTCCAATTACCGTCTCTATCCAGGAGAAAACAGGCGCAACAGATCTTTCAGCTGAAATATTTGGGCAGCTTTACATAGGTCTGATGGATTCATTGTGCATATTTTACAGCCTTCGGTTGCCTACATTGCACTGTGCTGTCAGGGTTGTAGAAAGGCTGGTGCCAAGGGCCAGATAAGATTCCTGCACTCACAGAGCTTGCTGCCTATCAGGGGTCCATGTGGTGGGGCACAACACAAGATTAGAGAAAGATTTTAGAGCCAGCATGGGAAACAAAGTAGGAACCTGGACTTTTTGAAGCACGTACTGTTGTAACCCCATAAACCACATGTCCAAGGCAGGAAGAAAAGGCATGTTAGTTACCCACACTCTTCTGTGGCCCAGGTGGTTAGATTGTCAGGCAAAAGGTTTCGGTCCACTGCATTGATAACTTTGTCTAGTTTGGGGCTCTATATAGGAAACACAGCTGCCAAGTTTTTGAAAGGTAAGGTGTAAGAGGAAAGGTTACAATGGCGGGTTGTTAAGCTGATAGAGGTTGCTTGTGGGAGTGAAATGATGGCTTTCAAACCTTCCAAGTGCCCATAACTGATCCTGGGCTAAGGAACTTTTCTCTAAATGAAAGACCAAAAACATTTGAAGTTATCAAGTCTCTGAAGCCAAAGTAAAAGGATTGTTATTAGCAGTAGGTTGATGTGGCAGCAAAACAGGCACATAAAACACGGTGCTGTCAGGGCTAGGAGCACAAATAAGCCCCAAAGCAGAGACACAAATTTCATTTTTAGTTCAAAAAGTATTTCCAAGATAGTTATTTCTATGTTTAGATGTAAGGAGAAAGGGAAAAAGGTCCCCTGAGGCTGAGGGCAGAGGAAGGGCCATAGATTCAGACTGGCTAATATTCTTCTTCCTGCTTTCTTATTTGATTTTATTCTATGAAAACAAAACAAAATAACTCAGATAGGAGAGTTGCTGAGATGCAGGTCAGCCTTTGGCTGCCACACATGGGCTTTGAGAAAAAAAAAGTCTATTTTCTGTCTCTTTGTGGTTATGTGTGCTGTTGTACACAGAAAGGAAAATAGAAAATGAAACTGGGGTTTCCACACTAAACCCTTATCCCTGCTAGTTCAAGCAATGTCCCTTGGACATCAGATGTGACCAGTCTACTGACATTTAAATGATAATCTACAATATGTCAGGTCAAGCTGGGCACCTGGGACACGTCTTTAGCAAAGTGCCTTTCTCATAAGGTCAAACTGGGTGGAAGACTGGAATAAGAAATGCAGTCAGAACTTGGGGACCCATCTAGAGTTAATGGGGATCACATGCTCAACCCTAGGAGCTGATCTAAGCATTTTCATAGACTTTCTGGGCATTTTCCTCATGGGAAGTATTTTGCTTTTTTTTTTCTTTCCCATCAACAGTTCAAGTTTTGTTCACACCTCCTAGTAACCATATATTTCATTTTCCACCCATCCACACTCCCTGCTCCTCCCCATTCTGTCAGGGGAGAACTCATAAATGTCGTTGGTCACAAATCCACTTTCCATGCTTGCCAGTGTCACGAACCCGCTTTCTGAAGGGTTCACCGCCATGTTGTCATAGTCACAAGATAGGTCATCAGGAGTGGCGTCTCCTGAACACACCCGGAATGAAATGTTCTTCAGGTCTGGTCGGGGCTCAGCTAAGTCTGCTTCACTTTGTTTTCTTATGATGTTGTAAACCTCCAGGTCTGGGCTGGGTTCTTGGTGAGGAGAGGCCCAGATGGTGTGTTGATCCTTTGTGCTCGGGTCTGGCTGCTCCCGTTTTCTAGAAGGAAGACAGTGGGACTGAGTATTTGAGATCAGGAGATCCAGAATATTCCCTGGCTTTGTCCTCAAGCAAGAGGAACCCTTGGCAATCACTAAGTCACAATTCCCAGCTATGTAAACCTCTAGGCTAGGGTTTGGGGGTGGCTGATTTGGGGGGTACCAACCAGGAAAGTGTTATGCTGAAAGTGATTGTGTACCTGTTGTCTACTGATGCTAGAACTTACATGGCTGTGCAGTATGAAAATAGGTAATAAAACAGAGTAGAATTTATAATACATTTGACCTGAATTGCTGACATAAATAATATTTTTATATTATATCACAGTGATTATAGCTGCCTTGATGTAAATTATATCTACCACTAAATAAAGAAGCACATGTATATATTACTGCACCACGCATTCACTTTTGGAAATATTTTGCTAAACTCTATGACAATGTAATTGCTTCCATAATATCCCCATGTATTTTGTTTTATGCATTTAACAGTCGTGTCCAAGGAAGAGGTCCATAGGCCTCACTAGACTAATAAAGGAATCTGCAACACTATAAAGGTGAAAACTCTTTCTTGATGTAGATGGAGTCCAGCTGGAGTTATTAGTCTCAAATCCTGGTAAAGCAGGAATCAGCTATAGAGTAAATGTGCATGCGCATGGGGGTGCGTGCACGTGCACACACACACACACACACACACACACACGCACTGGTTTGAACTGGGGCTTCTCATTTGCTAGGCAGGAACTTTACTACTTCAGCCAGTTCCTTTTTGCTTTAGTTATTTTTCAGAGATCTCACAATTTTGCCCTAGACTGGCCTCAGACTATTCTTCCTACCTAGGCCTCCTGCATAACAGTGACCGCAGGTGTGTGCTATCATGCCCCACTTACTTGTTATGATGGCGAGGGGTATGTATCTCACAAACCTTTTATTCTGGGCTGGCTTCAAACTGCAGTCCTCTTGGTCTCTACCTCCCAAGTAGCTGGGATTATAGGAATGAATGAGCCACTGTGCCCAGCCAGAAATATATTTGTAATTGTTCAAACTGAATTCTACTTTTAAAGTCAAGGGAAGTAACTAATAAAACCTATCACATAATGGCTACCATTTTTGAGTTCTTACTATGTGCCCATTCTTAAAATATCAACTGCTTTATTCCTTACAGTAAAATCCTTGGAGGAAGTTATTAAATAAAATAGTTTCTACATTGGAATATTATTAGCACATCTCAAATTGGTCACCAGAGGAAGTAAAAAACAAAACAAAACAAAAAGCAACCCCAAACCCTTAAATTGGACTTTACTTTTCCTGTTGTAAAAATGGGAATACTGGTATAAAGATGTACCTGAGCAATTCTGTGCACTTAAAAAATGGGGGCTATCTCTCTGATCCTGATGGTAAATAGAGGCTCTCTGGCTCCCTAGCAGAGCTATTTTATCGTAATTTCTCTGTGTGTTTCAACTAAAAGGAACTCCACTCTCATTGTGAATGAAGCCACTTAGCATTGGAGGCTTACCAGATCGCTTTGAAGCAGTCATTTTCCATGTGACCCATTCCTTACTCAACAAGTGGTTTTGGAAGGATGACCTATATGCATGGGAGCACTTTGCTGGGTAATACATGGGTCCACAGGAAGTGAATAACAGAGCCTCACCCTTAGAGCTGTTTAAAAGCTTCCACACACACAAAAATAAAGAATGGAAGATCACTCTCTCAGTCACCACTCAGCACAAATGCTTAGCACTTTTGAATGCTGGAGGCTGCTAGAAAATGTCCTCTCATTTCTGCAGTGGTCCTTCTCTTGGAGTGGCCATGGCTATTAATGAAGTCAACAGACCGGTGCTTAGATAGATCTGAGTGCAGAGAATGCAGAGGTTTATACAATGGCAGATTTACTTGCCTCCTTCTAGAGATCCATGCTGCACACACCACTGTGGTTACCACAAGGAGAAGGAGAAGGGGGATGCTGGGGATAAGGATGTAGGCAAGATTCAAGGCAGTATCTAAAAAGGAAAAAAAAAGCACACTAATGAAGTGGTTTTTTTTTCTCCTCCTCTTCCTCCTTTGTTTCTTTCTCCTCCTCTTCCTTCTCTTCCTCTTTCTGTTCATCCTCTCCCTCCTCCTCCTCTTCCTCCTCTCTCTCCTCCTGTTCCTCTTAATCCTCCTCTTCCTTCTCCTTTTTCAAACCAGGCTTTAAAAATTCCTAAGCAACACAGACTATTCCAGAGAGCATGTTGGTAGGAAGTAGTTGCAGTTACCCAGTCAGCAAAGCCTTCCAGCTTCAATAAGTGATCATTTTCTATTTGTACTATTATTCTAAATATCAGTGAAAATGAGGTTTTGAATCTCTTGCAAGGAATGTTTGATAATTAATTTTTTTTTCCAGAGAAGGGAGATTCTTTCCTTGTCTTTCTCCTTAGTGTAGCAGAGGTTTGGGCTGGGTGGAGGGGAGTTGTGTTGATGTCTTTACCTCTGTGGAGCACTTCAATAGTTCCCAAGCTGGGAGTGGGAGAGAAGGAGGGAGGGAAAGAGAAACAAGCCAGACGTCCCAGTGTCATTACCAGAGAGGAGGAGCACCGAAATTAGACTGTAAATGTTCCCAATATTTCTGACCAAGACTCACTGGCTCAGCTAAGCTCACTCTCAGTGGCTGTGAAGGACATTCAGAGGCCTGGGCTTCTGATCATGCAGACTTTGTAAAACATCCCTTAAGACTTAGACTCAGAAATTGTTCCTTTCAGGCACTTGGGGAAAGATCAAGGATTGGAGACCAAAGCCTTTCCTACCCCCACCAACCTAACATTCCCAACCATCCAGACGCTATTTTAATTTTTTTTTTCTACGTGGCTGCAAAGCTGACAATCATCAAAGATAAAAAACAAAAACAAACAGGTTCAAAAACTATCGCAGGGAGGTAGATACATCGCAATTGTACCCAGAGTGTACACAGACACCCCGCTTGGCCTATGAATCTCTTCATTTGGCTTCTTTTGACTTGATCCTGTATGACAAAATGCCTAAGAATAATGTCTTCCTGATTTCATGAGTTTTTCTGGCAGCTTGCTGAACCTGAGAAGGGTCATGGGCACCCGTAGATTTGTAACCAGTTAGTCAGATGTGTAGGTGGCCCATAAACTCCAAACTTGCGGCTGATGTCTGAAGTGAGGGCAATTGTGGATCATGCCTTTAAAGATGAAGGGGCTGGGCTGGGAAAGTGGCTCAGTGGTAGAGCGCTTGCCTTGCATGCATGAGGCCCTGGGTTCGATTCCTCAGCACCACATAAGCAAAAAGAAAAAAGCCGGTAGTGGCTCTGTGGCTCAAGTGGTAGAGTGTTAGCCTTGAGCTGAAGAGCTGAGGGACAGCACCCAGGCCCAGAGTTCAGGCCCCACAACCGGACCCAAAAAAAAAAAAAAGATGAAGGGGCTGTGCTAACTCACTGTCAGAACTGAATTACAGTACTGCAATTATTCTATTTTATGGACACAGTAGTGCTCTCAAGAGGTAAAAAAAAATATGATTACTTCTATTATGCCAAAGATTAAACTGAAGCACAGTGAAATTAAGTGATTTTTGTTCAGGGACAAAAATCCCTCTTTGAAAGCCAGGGTTGAGAATAAGATTGAAAGCCCATTAGCTAATGATTCATTTTCTTTTACCTTTATGATCTAACCTTCTAGGTGATTCTGTCCATTTCCTCTCTTTGTTGCACAGATCTTATACATCATGGCTTGAGCCTTTCTGATCTTATTACTCTGTATCTAGTCTCTCAATCTCCACCCTACTACCCTACCACAATCTTCTTGACCATAGGTGGTTTTTAAGACTTTGTCTTTACAAAGACAGGATCTTTCACCTCTTATCTAGTTTAATATAATATTCTTAATCGTTTTGGGGATAGCTGCATATTTCACATTTAGTGCAGATTTTACAAAGTCACAGATGCCTCGGCTAATTTCATTTTTAAGAAATGGTAGGAAGAATGAAGTAGAGAATACAATACATATCATTTGTAATCAAGGAAGTCCATTAACCATTTTTCCCAGATGAGTTCTGTACTCACCTTTGCTTTCTTTAACTGTTTCTTTGGTATCTTCTTTTTGTGTTTCTTCTGCAAGTGTGGGTGTTATTGGGTCTGTTCTCTCACCTGGGGAAGAGACATATAGATACAGAACTTGGAGAAAGGCGTCATAGTCCAGTATTTTTTGAAACTGTCCTATATCCAAAGTGGGATGCAAGAAAAAAAAACAGGAGCAATTTGACCAGTGAAGAGTTGAATTTGCTGCCCTTGAGGCTTAATTGTCTTTTATGTTTTAGTAACTCTTGCTGCCAAAGATCAAGCACCAAAACAGCCCAAAGCAGTGGCATTGAACCACATGAAGTACCAAGGTGCCTAGAGGAAGGGCCAAAGACTTACTTCTAGAATCATAATCAGTTTGGCTCAGTCTCTTGTCTCATTAGATTAAATTAAGCCACTCATATTGTCAGTAATAATAAGGAACCTTGCAGACTGAATTTGCAACTGTTGCTTTTCACATTTGACAGAAATAGACAATAGCAGAGAGTGAGCACAAGGAACAAATTATTATCGTGACTAGATGTGGTTTATGGCTGTTCAAATTGTCTGTGTTAACCCTCATGCTCTTTCTGTTGAATAATCAGGTTAAAAGGACATTTGGCTCTAACTCTATAAAGAGGGGTTTCAAAACAGCCCAAATGAACCCAAGTCTCACAAGACAGCCTTACCTCCAGGCCTCATAGAAGGAGCTGTTGGTTTCACTGCAGGAAAACAAAAACAAAACTATAACTAAACTTTCCTGTCAGCTGAATGACATCAGCTAGAAAATGGCATCCATTTCCAAAAAAATTTACTTATCATTACCAGATCGTTTATTGTTACCAGACACAAGGAAGTGAGTTAGTTAATTCAAAAGAATTACTTCATTTCAGGCTTTCTTCTTGAAAAAAAATTTTTTTTTTTTTTTAGAATAGCAGAGAGCCTGGTGCAATGAGCCCCTGTGTATTGTCACACAGTTTCCTCTAGATCAAAGATAGCTAATCCAGGTTCAACAGTAATCTCTCCTCCCCCACTATGCTCCTGGCCTGGATTCTTTGAAAGCAGCTCAAGTCATTTTATTAGTTTCCATGAAAGTGCTTTTTAGAACGGCAAACACTGATCTCTAAGCAGTGGAAGTGGTTGAGGGACTGGCCAGCTCTGAGTCAGAACCTGGTGATAGGCCCTGAGTTCTTCAAAATACTTCCCAAGGCCTCAGAAAGGTCAGGTTGCGTAGACAACAAAAGTCCGTTGTATTTGCTTTTGACAAACCTCAACTATGTTGGCAATGAGTATCCCATGCTAATCAGATGCTCTGGAGTTCAGAAGGATAGGGATCCTTAACAGCAGGATTTAGAAATCTCAGTCCTGAGCCTATCCTAAAGTTTACTTCAGAGAGGACAGAAAGATTTAATTCTCTTCTCATAAGTGCATGTGTATGCACTTGATCCAAACCTTATTTATCTTTAAACCTATTTATAGAATGACGACTGTGTGATAAAGACTGCTCTGCTGCATAAAAACAAACTGAATTTCTTTTTTATTTTGTTGGTCGTGAGGCCTGAACTCTAGGCCTGGGTACTGCCCCTCAGCTCATCAGCTCAAGGCTAGCACTCTACCACTTGAGCCACAGCGCCACTTCCAGCTTTTTCTGCTTATGTGGTGCTGAGGAATCGAACCCAGGCCTCATGCATGCAAGGCAAGCGCTCTACCACTGAGCCACCTTCCCAGCCAAAAAACTCAATTTCAATAGTTTTGATAATAATGTTTCCTTTATGAGAAAAAGACAACTAGGGGCTGGGAAGGTGGCTCAGTGGTAGAGTGCTTGTCTTGCATGCATGAGGCCCTGGGTTCAATTCCTTAGCACCACATGGCAGAAAAAGCTGTAAGTGGTGCTGTGGCTCAAGTGGTAGAGTGCTAGGTTTGAGCTGAAGAGCTGCGGAACAGCGCCCAGGCCCATAATTCAGACCTCATGACTGACAAAAAATAAAATAAAATTATTTTTAAAAAAAGGAAGACTATTCAACCTAGTTTTGATGGGGCTGAAGCCTTCCCAAAGGAAATTACTTTTTAATTTCTTATTTTGGAACGATTTTAGATTTATGAAAATTTGCAAGATACACTTTACCTAATCATTTTATCACATTTCATTGACTTAATTATTCTAGTCTTATCTGTCTGCCTGCCTACCTACCTCTATATCTTTGTATTTATACACATGTATATGCATATGTCTTCATGCATACTTGCACAGACAAAACTTTCTTCCAGAGACTAAGTTGCATATGTGCTATCTTCCATTTGCATTTAAAAGAGAGAGGACATTCTCTTATGTAACCACGATACAACAATCAAAACCAAGAAATCCATCTTGATGTAATACTGTTATCAAAGAACCAGTCACATTCCACATTCTTTCATTGACCTGATAATGTCAAGCATAGAAAACCTTTATCATTACTGTTACCATCATCATTGGGGTGACCATAACAATCCACAATGACTTGTTGCACTTGTTAGGAGAGAAGGTAATGCTTCACCTAAACCTGAAGAGTAAGAGTGAATTAATTGGGAAAGGGGAAAGGGTGTTCTATGCATAGGAGGCAGTAGGTCAGAGCTCTCAGAGAACTGCACTGAGTGCAAAGATGTTAGAATAGGACAAGGAGAGGACTTGGAGTAGTTAGAGTTGAGGCTGGATAGGAAGGCAAGGGTCTGATCATCCTTTTCTAGCATGCTAAGTTGTATGAGCTTATCCTAAGGAGGGGTGGCTTTTTTTTTCCTGGTCCTGGAGCTTGAACTCAGGGCCTGGGCACTGCCTCTCTGTGCTTAAGGCTAGCACTCTTCCACTTGAGCCACAGGGCCACTTCCAGCATTTTCTGTTTTTGTAGCACTGAGGAATCAAACCCAGGGCTTCATGCATGCTAGGCAAGCACTCTACCATTAAGCTACATTCCCAGCCCAAGATGGGTGGCTTCTTAAAGGCAATACATTTATTCTCCACTTAATCACCTAACCTCTATCAGATCCGTTCTCTGTTTTGGGAGAGGCTGATCTCTATTAACTATTTCATCGAAGCCTCTTGTCTTTGCGCGTTGATTGTAGGGAAGCAAAGTCAAAAGATCAGAGGACAGGAGGAGAGAGGTCATGGTATTTATATTCCTCATGTCCCCTTCCATATCAGCATGCTTTGACAGTAGCAGCATTCTGTGGTGGGTCCTCTTATGATGCCAGCTTCCTCTGGGTTTTGCTAAAATGATTCTCTCCCTTTGTTCCTTTATAAACATAGTAGTGGATAGCTTCCCATTGTAGCTAGTCCCAGGCATTTTGCCATTTCTTGCTCTTTTTCTACACCTCTGCAAATAGCATTTTATCATACTCTCCTTATTAAACCCTGTGGGTTGGGTATGCTGTCCTTTTTCCAGCTAGAACTCATTAATGTATTTAATGCATTAAAACAGCAATTAATACAAAACAAAGGAAGAATATGATTTCAAGTTCAAAAATAAAAGGATGCTAATGAAAAATTTTAAAAAGTCTCTTATTTAATAATATTAGAGAACAAACATTTAAGCCTTGTAGCTAACAGAATATAACTAACAAAAGTGGCCTGTCACTGGTGGCTCACACCTGTAACCCTAGCTATTCAGGAGGCTGAGATGTGAGGATCATGTGTGAAGCCAGCCTTGGCAGGAAAGTCCATAAGACTCTTATCTCCAATTAACCATACACACACACACACATACACACACACACACACACACACACACACACACACACACACACAGAAGTGGAGCTGTGACTCAAGTGGCAGATTGCTAGCTTTGAGCACAAAAGCTCAGGGATAGCTCCCAGGCCCAGAGTTCAAGCCCCAGGGCTGACACACACACACACACACACACACACACACACACACACACACACACACAGAGATGGAGAGCCAGTTTGTAACAAGTGTTTTGCTTTCACTGTTCTGAGAATGTGACTTGTACCCTTGTTGCCTGAGGCAACTCTGTATGGGAGAATTCATCTGAGTGAGTAAAAAGGGAGGGAAAACATCTTTTAGTAGCAAAAAATTTGCCCCCATAACATGATCCAATGCAAGAGACTTTAAAATATTATATAGTCCTAAACTAAATATAAGTAACAAGTTATTCTACTCATGTCATAAAAGAATCGGGGCCAAGCAGCTTAGAGGTGGTAAGAAACTTCAGGGATGAATCATTAAGGAGTTCAAGTTTAAATCTAAGTCAGTTAAAATAAGGGAATCTGGGAAAACTCAGCAAAATCCTTCTGGTCTGGAAACACATACAAATTAAATTTGTAAGTCATATCTACAGGGGTAGGTGGTCTTGGGAGTTTAAAATTACTCGTCCACATGCTTGCTATCTCTGCCTAATGCCAGTGGAATTGGTGTACTTTATCCTGAGCTGCTGCTGGTCATTTGTGTGTTCCTTTAAATTCCCCCCAAATAAGCTCACATGGTTGTTAGAAGACTTGTAGGAGAAATGGTTAGCTAATTCCAGGCTCCTACACATGTGGGATGTGTAAACGTTTGTGCTTGTCCAGAGAGAAGGCCTTTTGGGATGTTCTCAGAAGACTTGCTTCATCACACATAATTAGATCCTTTCTTTATCATCTTTTTTTCTGGTCTTAACATCTGATAACCTTTTCTTTGCTAGAATTATTCGTCAGTAAGGAAGTGTCATCATCTTTCTCTTTATAAGAATTCCCCAAGTTTAATAGTGCTGGTATGTGCAACAAGCTTTCCCCGAAACAAAAAAACAAATTCTTTATATCAGCACCTGTTTGTGAAATGGGAGAGAAGGCTAAAGATTCAGCCACATAGTTTGGGAAAGGACTTATTACCATCAGAGTATTTGCAAATGAAATTGTTCTTCATGTTGCATCGGTCATCATTCCACTGGAACATATAGGGGCCTCCGATACCAGCAGGTGCTGATGGCTGATGGTACATGACCACACAGACCTCGCTGCCACAGGAAGGCTCATCCACATACCAGTTCCTGTGGGAAAGGGATCAACAACAGAGGTAACCAGACATACAGATTCCACTTCAGAAACCAATACAGAGAGCGGGAGGTGCTAAAGCACTCCAATAAGCAGAACCATATACTCTCTACTATGGATGTCACAATCAATCATCTGACATTTACCATAACCTCTTTTCCATATGCTGGCTGCAAAGTAATTAGGAAGAGAAGCAACTAGCAGAGCTGGTCTTTTTCTTTTTCTGCTAATTGTGTTTTGTTTCTCATTTTTCAGGGATCAGATGTACTGAGAAAAGGAATGGTGCATGTCATGCAGATACTTCCTGTTTCCATTTTCCCTGCTTATCATCAGCCACTGCTGCCTTAACATTCCTGGATAGTAGATGAGAAATTTAAGCATCTGAACAAGACATGCATATATATATATATATATAAAGAGAGAGAGAGAGATACGCTTTTAAAGCATGTGAGGGGATGGGGACAAAGTCAGGAAAACCACTGGGTCTGTTTCAGTTTTGAAGTCATTTCCTCTTGATCAGGCCCATAAACCTCTTAGTCTCTACTGCCAGGTATCTTAGCTTTGCCTCTCGAGTCCCCCAAAGTAGGGGCTTAGCTATACTATCCAAATGGCCTGGATATGTGGGGGCCAGGTTAAAACCTTAGATTCTGTTGACCATCTCAATGTGCAGGAGTCCGCCCCATTTGTTGACTCAGGGCTGGGCTTTGTACTCTGTCTGGTTATGTTATCTGAGCAGTTTTCTCCTGGATTGAGATCTTGCCCTGATGCTCAGACTATTTAAGTAGGTACTGTTGTTCGGTCTAGCTTTTCTAAGAATCCCTACCTCAGTAAAGAGATAGCTAAGAGACAGGTCTCCTGCTAGTGATAGAGTATGGCTCTGCTTTAGTTCTGTGTTGCATTCTGCCAAAAGGAAGATCCTTCGTTTAATCACCTAAGTTGAATTTCCTGAACAACAGCTGAGCTTGCAACTCAGATAACTCCTTGGATATTATGGCTGCCTCAGAGGACCCTGTGGGAGATATGCCATGTACCTCCTCAGTATCTTCATCCTGTTCTTCACCATTGTTACTCCACATTGGCCTTATAGCTCCGTGGTATTTCATCTCATAGATAGATGGAATGTATTCCCAGCATTTGTTTTTTGGATTTCAGCCAGTTTTCAGACTGAGAACTCACTGGTAGAGGGAGAGGTTAATGGACCAATGTGATTTTCTGTGATTCCCAACCAGAAATATCTGGAACAGTTTTTATTCATTGGGAATGGACAAAAGTATACTTTCATGGTCTTTCCTAAAGGTGAGGTTGGCTTTTCCCACCTTCTGCTATAATGTGGTTAGAAGAAGCCTTGACTTCCTAGATATCTTGTAGAAAATTACACTGGTCCAGTATATTGCTGACATCTTGCCAAATGGACCTGATGAACAACAAGTAGATAATATATTGTAGGACTCAGTAAGAATCATGTGCTCCTGAGGGTTGGAAAGAAATCCTATGGATATTCAGGAACAAGCCACTTTTTTTTTTAAGCATGTAGAGATGCTTAGTGACCTAGCGAATACTAGAATATACCTTTCAAGTTAAAAGACTATTTTTTTCTTTTTTTGCCAGTCCTGGGGCTTGAACTCAGGGTCTGGGCGCTGTCCCTGAACTTCTCTATGCTCAAGGCTAGCACTCTATTACTTGAGCCACAGTGCCACTTCCAGCTTTTTCTGTTTATGTGGTAATGAGGAATTGAACTCAGGGCTTCATGCATGCTAGGCAAGCACTCTACCACTAAGTCACATTCCCAGCTCCAAAAGTCTATTTCATCCATGTAATAATTTGGAAAAGGAAGCATAGCATTTGGACTCCTAAAGGGGATAATGATTCATTTTGGAATAGGCATACAATCTGGGCATGGATTTGCCTTTCCTGCCTTAGTACCTTAGTCAGCACCACTCTCTAAAGGTATATTCAGTACTCAGTCTATAAAACAAGATTCCAAATAACATCTTATCAGCCTGGGGGACCTGTTTCACAAAGAAGGTAAAGGGTACAGGCAACAGGCCATAGAGTTGACTCAAGCTGCCAGTTTGACAAAGTAATTGAATAGTTTGTTGAAAATATACTTGAAGGGCTGGGAAGGTGGCTCAGTGGTAGAGCACTTGCCTTGCATGCATGAGGCCGTGGGTTCGATTCCTCAGTACCACATAAGCAAAAAGAAAAAAGCCGGAAGTGGCGCTGGGGCTCAAGTGGTAGAGCACTAGCCTTGAGGTAAAGAGTTGAGGGACAGCACCCAGGCCTAGAGCTCAGGCCCCATGACCGGACCCCCCCAAAAAAATACTTGAAGCATCATCTTAGAGGCAATGTTGTAGGTTGGTTATCAACTCAACAAAACCATATATGCTTTAAACCAGTGATTTATGCAGTAGTCCTGTATTTACAAGAGTCTAATACATGGGTCTGGCCAATGAACAAAAGTGGTAGTAAGTCACTGGAGAGAATTTGTATTCCTTGTCTCTGCAATGCCAGGCTTTGGGAGTCTTGAGGTACTTAGTTCCAAGAGGGAAATATTTCTAGAAGATATAGCAAGAATCTTATTGAATTGGGATCCTTGTGTCCAGGGACTAGCAATCAAGAAGAAACATCATTATCATGGCAGGAGGTAGGTGATTCTAATCATAAAGAGCAGCTAGTTTCCTTTTATATGGTATGGGCAGGGAGAAGACTCCTAGGTTATCTACTTGGGTATCTCTTGGTATTCATGTCTCAATTTTTATATCAATGGAAAAGTACGTTAACAACGGCCTGAGAAGTTCTAGGTGACAAGGGCAGACTCTTCAGAGATAAGAGCCTGGTTATGCCACTCGGTCAGTCACGGAGACCAATGGAGGGTGGGAATCTGAACTGGAAACTAGAAGAGGGAGATCAGTAAATATTAGTTGTGGGCCCAGGACATTCTGCAGTGAGAGATATATAGTATAGTTCATCTATTAACTTTCCTTTCTGTTTCTCTCATGAAGAGAAGCCCATGAGAACCGTGGAGGAGTTTCTCCCAAACTTATATGACGATGACATCTGATCAGCATAATGGGTAGACAGCAACAGATGTTACTTACTGACTTAGATATAACAGGTAAAATGCATGTTTTTATCTTCATCTTTTTGTCTGATAATGACTCTATATGTTTTTCCATATGATTAGATTTTCTGTTTTGTGCTTTTGCCACTTTATCTATTGGGTTAAGTTTAAAAAAAGCTTTCAATGACAGTTCTTTATCATAAAGATATTAATTATGTTATATTTATAGATATTTCTCTAGTATTATGTCTGCCTCTTAATCTTCATACTATTAAATGTTAGTCCACACCATAGACTTTTTTTTTGTCAGTTGTAGGGCTTGAACTCAGGGCCTGTTCACTGTCCCTGAGCCTCTTTGTGCTCAAGGCTAGCGCTATACCAATTGAACTACAGCACCATTTCTGGTTTTTGAGTTGTTATTGGAGATAAGAGTCTCACAGGGATTTTCTTCCCAGGTGGGCTTTGAACTGCCTCAGACCTCAGCCTCCTATAGGTATGAGCCATGGGCGCCTGGCCACCATTGATTTTTTTAGGAAGAGATGACAGCAAGGTCACCCTGCCATGGTGTGGTGTGAGTGAGCATCACTGTCTTGGTGGTATAAATTTAGAAGGGTCCTACAGATTACAGCCTTCCTTGGCCAGATTTCTTGTCTCTTATCAGGGTTTTCTGTGTCTTGTGATAGTCCCATCTTGACTCCAGAGACTTTCATTCTCTTGATGTGTATTTTAGTCTGAAAGGCCAGACAGCCAGAATCACTGATTTACAATCCTGTGCATTGAAACAATGGTACTGGGCTTCACCCAGCTGCAGAGGACTCTTTGTACTTCATCTGGGCTCAAGTGAAGATTGAGCTTGCTACTTTCACCACACTGCTCTGGACAGTGGGTATTCTGGTGTTATTGTCCTCTTCCCCTCCATTCTCCCCCCCCACCCCCACATTTGCCTGGCTTTCTCTTCCTTTCTTTCCCATTGATGTGTCATTGTCCATCTACCCTGCCTCGTTCTGAGTTATGTCAAGGGAGTTGATGCTGTTGGTTCACTTACCTAAATTTTGATGTACTGCCATCAGTCCAAGCATAAAGGTCCTGGCAGGCTGTGCTATTGCTTTTTTTCTCCTCACGCCTCCTGAGTCCAATCCAGAAGTCACCATCAGATGCCAAGAGGTTTTCAATGAACTTTTCTATCAGTCTCTGCTCATCTTCAGACTCAATGCTGACTAGCTGGCCCCCATCCCATCGGCAGGCTTCTTTGGCTTCCTCAAAGTTCAGCCTTCGAGAAACATCATGGAAATAAATGACTTTATAACAAGGCCTTCGGGTCCCTCCTCGGCAGACCAGCTGCCCTAGAGAAAGAAAAATAGAAAAAGAAAGCAGCCATTTTATGTTCTCACTGAAAGTATACCAGAGAAGAGTTACTCAGAGGAGTCGCTGAATGATGATCTCTGAGTAGGATTCTGAGTACTCACTACTCATCAGCAGAGGATTTTCATGTCAATTAGGATTCCCAGAGAAAATTAGTACTCCCTCTAGCATGTACTTGCAGTAATTTAAACTCTGATGCCTGTGTTATGGAGTGATGCCCACGTGATGGAAGATACTATATTTTGTTTATTCCATTACAGATTCTTAAAAACAGACATTTCTATCTCTCAAAGAAGATTTATGACTTCACTTAAGACACACAAGGAACACTTTTATGCCATTAGGGAATCTCAGGAAATTAGTGTCACTTAAAGTGAGTATCTCTATTAAGTGGTGCTTTTAGGTAAAGAGGCATTCTGAGGTTTCTAACTTATCTAGATTCAGTCTCTTATGTGAGCAGAAGCTAAGAGCATCAGATACATGGGCTTCTCTAGTACTGTCAGTCCTCTGACCTAAAGACAACACCTATGGCTTACTGGACTTTTCCTGTGTGCCATTAACAATGGTAAGGGCTTTATATTTACATACATACTTTATCTTTTTTTAACGATAGAGCCATCCCAGGATGTAGATACTATTTATAGCCCATTTTACAATAGAGAAAACTGAGGCTTGGGGAAATTAAATATTTTGTTTAAGGTCATATAGCTATAGCAGCAGCAGCATCTGAGTCAGAATCCGGACCCGATCACAAAATCATTCTAGCCTCAGGTTCAGATTGTTCCGGGAACACATACCATGTATCTCATCTGACTAATACCTCAAGGGTTTTAGACTATTTCAGACAACTTTGCTGAGCAGCAAGTAACAACAAATGGTTCATCGGCACACACTGTCCTCACTTGTGTCTGGATGACTGAAATCATTAGGCAGCCAAAACCTTAGTCTCATTACTCCTTCACTGAGTATTTACTGAGTGTATCCACTTTGTGTGTCACTAGTGGCTGGGAATATGGAAACAAACGCCAGTTCCTACTCCATAGGATCACATAGTATTTGCATCTCGATCCAAGTGTACAAAGTGAAAAACACATCTCAATAAAGAGAGATTAGTACTGTAAGAAAAGAGCCAAAATATGGCGGTGGGTGTGAATTTCTGCCATAGAATAAAGGGTAAAGGATTTGGTTTGGCAACCTCTTCCCAGATCTTCTGGAATATTCTCATTTCCCCAACTTGTTTTGTAGTTGTGCAGGGAGCCAGATAACTTTTTTAAAAAAAATATTATTCTCAGTACTGTCTAGAATACAAGGGAAGGAGGCCACAGACAGTTAATAATACTGTTAGTGCTAACTGGGAATGAATACATACAGATGGTCCAGAAAGCTCCAGTGAATCTTTATTTTCATCTCTTCTCTCACCACTTTTCTAAAGAAATTCTCAACAAGCAAGAAGCTGAAAGAATTTTGCACCTCCTCCCTGTTATTCTTTGGCGGTTGGCTGCTAACTGGGAATCTCTAAGTGGATAGGCAAATTAGGAGGGCTCAAAGCAGAGAAGCTGAGCCTTTCTCAAAGAGGCCTGGAGAGGAGGCCGCCCAAGTTCTTATGATTCCTTAAAGGGGTTCTAAATCAGGCAGCAGAAAAAAGCTAAATGAGGCTTCAGGAACACCCCCCTTCCCCCCAAACGGGACGGTTTAGCATAAGCTGGAGTTGGATTTTCTGGCAGCTCCCATGTTTCCACTGGATTGCCAAGGGAAAACATAACACCTCAATGGAGTTTCCTGTATGGTCCAGCCTGGCCACATACTACATGTCTGAGAGTGCGGGCCAGAGCTGGAAAGATGCCCGGGGGCCCATCTGGTTCCCCTGCCTTCAGGAAGTGTCTTTCTCTTCTCATCTGCAGGAAAGGGAAGGGGGAGGGAGCTTCTGCCCTCTCTCCCCCTCCCACCCCAACCACCGGGCGAGTAAGGCTTCTGCAGCCTTACTCAAGCAGGTCAATTCAGTTCTCTCTGTCTCTGTCTGTCGGTCGGTCTGTGTCTCTCTCTCCTGTCCTGAAATCAACTCCTAGATTCATTAAATCATCTGCTCAAGTTGAGATGCCAGAGAGGAGCAGGTTCCAATTTTCTCCGTCCCTTCTTGGCCAAGGTGTTGGCGCCTGAGAAGGGAACCCAGAAATGGTGCAGCCGCCATCCTCCTCCATCCCATCCCCCCCCGCCCCCCCCCGCTCCCCCCTCCCCGTCCCAGCAAGCAGAACAGTGGAAGAAAGGCCAGAAGCTAAGCACGGTACCTCCTCGGGGGTCCAGGTCCGAGTCTGCAATGACAGGACGGAAGGAAGGAAGCCCAGAGTCATTTAGGGAGCCAGGCGGGGCTCGTCCCGGGCGGACTAGGCTTGTCTTCCCCATCTCAGAGCGCTCCCCTGGCGGGCGCTGCAAGCCACCCGTGCTCCCTCCCGCACGAGACACCGAGAGTAAGCCGCGAGGCTTCCCGCAGCACGCCGCACCCCCGCCCCTCCCGCCCGCCGGGCACTCCCGCGCGCGCGGCGCCCAGCGGGACGGCAGCTACTTTGCCCACCGCCCTGCCCAGCCTCCCACCCACCCAGGGGGCCATCCCGGACTTTCCTCGGTACCCAGGGACTCTGCAGGGCCGATCCAGGAGTGGAGCTCGGGTGGGGGAGGCAGGGGTCTGGGGTGGGGGTCCCTCCCTCCCTCCCCCACGGGCCAAAGAAGGGGGGAGTGGCGGTCCTGTAAAGGGTCAGCAACAGCTGGGTCCCCGCCCTCCCCCGCGCCCCGCCGCCGTGCACCCGCCCGGCCGACCCCGCAGCCCGCACTCACCGCTCAGCAGGCGCCCCTTGGCACCCCGCGGTCCCGCCAGCAGCACCGCCAGCAGCACAGCCCCAAGGGCAGCTCCCGCCGGCATGGCTGGGACTCGCGGGCACCCTCTGACACCCCGACTCTACGGTGCGGAGACACCAGTGGACAGACAGACTGATGGACAGATCGCTGCGTGCGCAACGACTGCAACCGAGGCTGCAGCATCTCCCACACACAGACTCCCACGGACTCCGCACTGGGAGGAGTCCAGGAGGGTGCAGGGTCAGTCCGTTGCCCTCCGCCTCCTGGGACGTCACTGCAGGGGGGGGCGGGCCACCCCAGGGCTAGTCCGCCTCAGCCAGCCTCCTCCCACAGGCTAGGTGCCAGACCCGGCCCACAGGAGGACAGCTAGTGGTGGAAGGGGCCAGCTCCCTGTCCTCTGCCCCCAGTGGTCCAGGAAGTAGGACGGCTGCCCTAAAATGGGGCGAAGAGCTCAGTGTGGCCCCCAAACAGCACCACGTCTCGCCTTCCTGTCGCCAGGACTATAGCCTGAGTGTGGGCTAAAGGAAGAGGGAAAGTAAAGCACTTACTGTGGCTCAGTAGACCACAGTCCCAGCGTCCTGGGCTACTCTTTGGAAAGGAAGGAGTATAGAGCAGATGCTCACACCTACAGTGTGCCCAGAGTTATAGACACAGTATGGAGTCATCATAAATGGTGGCTGAGTTGGAGTTGTCCTGGCGGAGAGTGGATACCACCGGAAACCAAAGACTGTCCCAGAGCTCATCAAGAAAACCGTTCTGATTTTTGCTGGACACATGTAAGGAAGTGAGTGGGGTTGACATTCAGCCTTTGATGGTAGGAGAAAGAAGACCCCTCCCTCTCTTCCAGGAAAGACAGACTTCATTGCCTCTGCAAAAACTTTTCTAACCAATTTAGCTCATAATCAACATGTGCTCCCTTTTCTAAACTCCCACAATAGCTGTTTGTTTCTGCTTATCTACCCGCTCTGATTGCCAGAACAACAGTCAAGAAAACAGTGATGCATCTAAGCTTTTGAGCCACTACAGTTTTAGACAAACAGGCCTGGAGAAAACCCGGGGCCGAGACGGGGCTATCTGGGCAACAGTTGCAAATATGAGGGATACTTATATTGCAGAAAACAGCAGCATTTCTTCTCTATATCCTGATTTGAATATTTCACCTCTAACACACAGTCTTTCAAGAATGTTTTGGTGATCAAATCATAGAACTGCAATGGGGGAAGAAGCACTTGAAGTATCTGATTCTGTCTGAAATCCTTCATTCAATATATGTGTGGCCTGGGGCTGGGAAGGTGGCTCAGTAGTAGAGTACTTGCCTTGCATGCATGAGGCCCTGGGTTTGATTCCTCAGCACCACATAAACAGAAAAAGCTGGAAGTGGGGCTGAGGCTCAAGTGGTAGAGTGCTAGCCTTCAGCTGAAGAGCTGAGGGACAGTTCAGGCCCCATGACTGGAAAATAATAAAAAAAATGATAGTGTGTGTGTGTGTGTGTGTGTGTGTGTGTGTGTGTGTGTGTGGCCTTTGGCTAACCCTTTAGCCTTAGGAGTTTCATGAGGGTTTGCCAAGGCCAATATATATATGTAAACAGGCAGGCAGCTGAGCACTTAATGTCAATTGAAAAGGATTTATTCCTAATATTAGAACTTCTGCTACAACTTAATGAAACTGTTACTTTGATCTTAATAAATGTGTCCTGTCTTCTGCCTTTGAAACCCTGACCTTTGTTCAGATTGGCTTTGTTAGTGTATATAGTCAACTGAGTGTGATAGATTATAATAATCACACTTTTTTGGTTGTACTGAGTGTGAATTCAGGGCCTCATGTTTGCTTAGCTAGTACTCTGCCACTTGAGTCACACTTCCTTCATGTTTTTTTGCTAGTTATTTTAGATTTGAGTTTCATGAAGTTTTTTGTGTAAGCTTCAATCCTTTGGATCTCAAACTTCAATCCTTTGTATTTCAACCTCAGCAGCTATCCTAGCTGCGATCCACAATGACCACACATCTTTATACCTCTCAGCGTACATATTATCCACCATGATATTGACATTTATTTTCCCATTCCTTGTCTTTGTGTTTGATCAGATGATTGAGTTTTCTGACTCTAGACTAGGTCTAGTGTCTTATTTATTCTCTTCTCTTCACTCTCTGAAAGGAGCATGTCTTAGATATCCCACTGATACATAAATATTCTCAACAGAGTGGAACGTGGTATAAAGCTCCTCAGCCAGATGATGGGTTTGAGTGGAACTGTTTTAGATGCTGTGCCTGAGCCTCTCATGTGCCTGTAATTAGATTCTGACTAGTAACTCCACATGTTCCTCTGTTGGTAATGTGGCTAGCGGCTTCTTTGTATGGAGGTTATACTTAGGAGTCGTGTGGGGGCTAACAGCAAAGTAAATGCACTCCTAAATAGATCTATAAACACTGGGGAAATGTAAGCTGTCATCTGGACAATTCAGAAGGGACCTTCTCTTTTCCCACGTATGAAGGGAGTAAGCCCTGAAAGTGAGGGGGGTTGGCAGTGGGATTATGTACTTGTGTACGAAACGGATGTGCTAAACTAGTGACTTACATAACAAGAGTTCTGACTTCAGATACCTTCTAGAAATGAAATAAACCACGTTTTAGAAAAGGGATTTTTTTTAAAAGAAGAAAGACTTAAGCTTTCAAGATTGTTCTTTCATCAATATTTTCTTATCTTTTTTTTTTTTTTTGGTCGATTGTAGGGCTTGAACTGTTGACCTGGGCACTGTCCTTGAGCTCTTCAGCTCAAGGCTAATGCTCTACCACTTGAGCCACAATACTACTTTCGGTTTTCTGGTAGTTAATTGGAGATAAGAGTCTCACAGACTTTCTTGCCTGGCTGGCTTTGAACCGTGATCCTCAGAGCTCAGCCTCCTGGGTAGCTAGGATTACAGACATGAGCCACTGATGACTGGCTCTGCCCTTATCAGTCTTTTTTTTTTTATTGTTGTTGGTTATGGGGCTTGAACTCTGGGCCTGGGCACTGTCCCTCAGCTCTTCAGCTCAAGGCTAGTGCTCTACCACTTGAGCCACAGCACCACTTCCTGCTTTTTCTGTGTATATGGTGCTGAGGAATCAAACCCAGGGCCTCATGCATGCGAGTCAAGCACTCTACTACTAAGCCACCTTCCCAGCCCCTTATCAATCATTTTTAATGATATTTTAATGATATTTTAATTTTAACTCAATGGGGACACATAAATCTTCTGGTTCTTGTTTATCTGATGTTCATGCTACAGATAAAATATATAAACTCTGGAAGTTCTCTTCAAATAAAAACAGTAAACAGGTAAAGTCGGATGACTATGGCGCGATGTAAAATGAGTATTAAGCCATCAATAAAAGAGGCAGCTATTCAAAAGTTGACATAAGTCCATATGTCTGCTCATTTAACTTTTACTTTTAAATTTTAACAAAATTTGTAAAAATTGAACACTTTCTAGGAATTGGTAACATTCGGAGAAGTCTTTTACCGGTATGATTTATCAATTTTAATTCTGTCAGTGACCCAATGATCCTGCTGTACTCATAGATTGCTTCAAAAGTGAAGATATATGTAGTTTGCCCATCAGAACTTGAATTAAATCAGGATAAGGCTTTGACTTCTTCTCTGTCCTCTTCATCTGACTCTGATAACACCTTCCTGTTGGAAGTCATATGAATCAGTTACTACACACACGGAACTCTGTCACAGTGACCGCAATGTAGCATAAAATAACTTGAAAATTTCCCCAATAAAAATTCAGTAGTTTGGATTCTCAATATGTCTTTTGCAACCAAGAATAAACGTGAGAAAAGTGGTTATTATACTGTGAAGTGTGATTTAAAGGGTAGGATTAAACTATCTCATCTCTATTTTATTTAGTTTTTGCAGTGCTGGTGATTGAACAAATGATTCTAAGCTAGCCACAAGCCCAAACTTACATTGCTTTTTGTTTTTTGGAGGGGGAGGCAGAACTAGGGGTTTGAACTCAAAACTCATACTTTGCAAGGCAGCTGCTCTACTACTTGAGTCACAGTTTCCTTTTTGCCTTAGGTTGGGTCTTGCTTTTTGCCTGGGCAGGCCTGAGCTGCAATTCTTCCACTTTCCCATATGGATGAGGAGGACAGGTACATGCTACTATGCCCACAACCCTATTGGGCTTCCACGATAGCTAGGATAATAACAGGCATGTGCCACCACATTCAGCCGTTGAATAAGATGGAATCTCAGGAACATTATGCCTGGACTCGCCTCAAACTGTCATCTTCCCTGACCTCTGTGCCCCAAGTTACAAGAATTATAGACTTGGCTCACCATACTCATTCTTTAAGATTGTTACTTTCATAATAGTAAAGAGGTTTATTTTTCTTTTAATGTTAATAAGAATTAAATTTCTTTTGTGTTCTAATTGTTATTCTTCAATACAGTGAAAATAATCATTGTTTGAATAAGCCACAAATTTTGAAAATACAAAATGAAGTGTTGCTTTTTTTCTCTTTAAGTAGGGGCTCTTTCGTGATTCATTGGTAATTGCTGGTTTCCTTGGAACTCTTCTAGAGCATATTCCAAGTCCCATTCTATCATTATTCCAGGGCTAAAATTATTACGCCTCATGGAAAGGCTAAAGTCTTGTTATATGAGTATAGCTCTGTCAACCTTAGCTGTGCTTCTGGTGGGATCAGACCTAGTTAACCATAAGACCTGCTGACAGTTAAGAAAGGAAGGGGAGGTGGAGATGGGAAGGGAGGATGGCAGGTGAAAACAAAAACTAGGATGATAAAGAAAAGCCAGTGAAGGTCAACAGAGATTCAAAGTTGAAGTGTTCATCAACTTATGCTTGCATATTCCATAGATAACCAAATGGGTTTACAGGGTTAAATATCTCTGAGGAGAATAAAGTTTGTTCAAAGGGAGACAACCCTAACATAGAGGTGTGGGTTTTTAGATTTGAGGTAGGGGTCAAAGTAAGAAGAAAGAAGTGCTTCTTTGGACAGTAACTAAACAGCTGAGACTATTTTTTTTGACAGAAGTAAACTTACTTTTCTTGGTGTACTTTGACTTTAGGTTTATAAGGAAGTGAAATCAATTCTTTCTAAAAACAAAATCAGAAAGAAAAAAGTTTTTTTTACTCAATGAAATCAACTCACTTGAAAAAAAATAGGTAAAATTAGTGTAGAGGTTTTTTTTTTTAAA